TGGTCTTAAGAACTATTGAGGGGCACCTGGGTGGCTCAGTCGGTTAAGCATCCGATTTCGGCTCAGGTCACGATCTCACGGTTCGTTGAGTTCAAACCACAGGACGGGCTGTGTGCTGACAGCTCAGAGCCTAGAGCCTACTTCGGATTCTGCCTCTTTCTCTCTCAAATATAAAATAAAATATAAAAAAAAAAAAGTTTTTTTAAATAATGACTACTGGTGACCCAAACACCAAAAATGTTAAATAATTGGCAACTGGGGGAAAAAAAGGACTCAAATATTAGTGTGCTCTGAAATGATCAGGTTTGGAGCATCCGGCTTCTTACCAATGAAATCACTTTATCAACTCACAAAGTGGTATGAGGGAAAAATCTTTCTGATGGGCTCAATCTTGCGTCTAGAACTCTTCTGTAGTGCCTTCCATCAGCAAAGAAAAACCTGAAGTTCCACTATGAAACACAGGTGGCGGGGGCTCCTGGGGGACTCAGGAGGTCGAGCGTCCGACCCTTAATTTCAGCTCAGGTCATGATCTTACGGTTCGTGAGTTCCAGCCCCACATCGGGCTCTGCACTGGCAGTGAGAAGCCTTCCTGGGGTTCTCTCCCTCTGCCCCTCCCCTTCACGGGCACGCACACACTCTCTCTCTCTCTCTCTCAAAATAAATAAACTTCAAAAACAAAAGGCAGCATGTGGCAGCTGGCAGAGGAGGTGGAGAGGAGAGCCCCCCCGCACACACACACAAGCCTCGGTGGCAGGCGCCCCCCCCAACCCCATCGCCTTCACCCCCACCGAGGGCCCGAGCGTGAGCACGAGTGTGTCCTGTTTCACCGTTTATGGAAACGGAAGGCATCCGATCAAACCACCAGACCTGTTTCCCACCAGCGAATGGTCATTCATCCAGTTTTCAAGTACCACTCACCTGGCAGAAGCCACCAGACAGCCCCGTGACCAAGTGACAGACCTCCCTACACTCTCGACGGCAGCTCTGCCTTGCAGAGAAGCGTGAGGTACGGAGCAAAGGCTCTGGGGAGCGTGTCTGCCGAGTTCCAATCCTGGCCCTGCCACGCACTGTGACCGGGGCACAGGACCTCAGTGCCTGCTTTCCTCTGGGACCCGGGGGTGCCAACGGTCCCCAGCACCCAGGGTTGCCCCGACCTGAGCGAACACGCAGAGAGCGCTCAGGAGAACTGCGTCGTAAAAAGTCAAACGTTGACCATTATCACTCTAATTCTCATCACCATCTGACGTTTCTAAACGAGAAAGACTTTCTAAAGTCTTCCACGAGCTCAGAACCCACGAGGACTCACGTGGATGCACACGAGGACAAAAGACCCCATCGGGACCACTGAAAACGTGCGTAACAGCATACAATCACCCTGTTCCACATCTCGGGAAATCAGTCATCTGGGCACCACACACGGGCAGCGCGCCCATTAACGGCAACGTGTCTGTCTCCCTCGACCAACCGCAGGGCTCCTGAGGGCACGGACAGGCCTGTGCACAGCGCGGGCACAGCAAGCGCACCGAGCGGAACCCTGCGGACCGATGCTCCTGAGCGTGTGCCCTTCCCAGGCGCCCTGCAGCTGTCAGAGATCAGCCAGGGCCCAGCCCCACGCCCAATCAGTCCACGCTCGGGAACGTTCCTGACCAACCCCACAGCGCAGGCGAGGACACTGCTGAGCACCCGCAAGCCGGGCACGTGGAACCCCTTCGCCCTGTCGGGGCTCTGGCGCCCACGCCCACCTTTAAGCCCCGTCTCACAGCCTGAAGGATGATCTCGACCACAGTGGTGGTCTTCCCAGTGCCAGGAGGCCCGTGGATGATGGCAAGTTCCTTCTGGGACAGCGCAAAGGAGACGGCTTCCTTCTGGGAGGCATCCAGGGAGGTGTTACAGAACGGCGGCGGCTCTGCAGGAGGGGCAACACGGTCAGGCTGGGCCCCCGCACCCCCCGGCGCTTCCTCCTTGCGGACGGCGCGGGCGGAAGGAAGCGCACACCAGCCTCCTGGGTCTCCCCGGGCATCAGCCCGTCAACACAGAACCCACCTGCTTTGTCTCCAAAAGCTTCCTCCCAGAACAGGAAGCGGCAGGCTGTGGACCACGGGCCCCAACCAGCCTGCTGCCCGCTTTCGGCCGTCCGGTCTCACCGGAACCCAGCCACGCCCGTTCACTTACACGCGGCCTCCGGCCACCGCCAAGCATTTCCCTCGTGTGCCGTGTGCTCCGAGAGTGGGCCCTGGGCGTCCAGCTCTGCCCCCAGCACCCGCCGCAGGGCACCCGACCCCTGAGTGAGCACAGCTCCCGGGCACAGCGCCCTGGTTGAGGCAGGCCAGACTGAAACCAGCTTGGCAAGCAGCAGCGATCACCTGACCCGAAGTCCCAGCGCGCCCCACCTCTTGGAACCGCATCCCTTTTCCTCAGACACCTGCCATAACCACCACGTAGCGTGCTCCTTAAAACACGGCAAATAAACTTCTAATTCAGTTTCCCATGCACAGCAGCCTCTCAATAAATAGGTGACAGAATAAAACGTTGAGACGTGAGTGCTTTCAGAATGTGGAGAAGTACCATATGGCAGCCACATCTTTAAAGGATACTGGCACGGCATCACGAGGGCGTGAATGAGCCCCGCCACCCCAGGCAGCAGGGACAGACCGAGCGCTACCGAGTCAGGAGATGGACGAGTGTGACGTCGCGGGCAGTGCTTGGGGAGGCAACAAGCCCCCTCAAAACTGAGGCTCTTCAAGACCACTGAGGGGTATGAGGAAGCGCAGGCGAGGAAGGGGAGCACGTGCGTGTACGTGTGTCTGTGCGTAGAAAAGACCAGAACACGTGCAGCTTGAAAGATGCCGAAAAAGTAACAAAATGCACTTAGAACGGAGACTTTTCAAACAAACAAACAAAAAATACTACTGGGCAAACGCTATACCCAGCCATCACGTATTTTCACGGATCACTGAGCTAGAACATCCTCACATTTCAAAGCGATGTGTTTAGGAACACTCGAAAGAACGCTGGAAAGTCGACGGAATGAGCTGCTTCCTGGCACCGAGTACTGGAGAGT